GATACGTGAACGTATCCACCACAGAATCCATAACACCTGTGATTTTCTAATGGAGCAAGAGAAGAGATGAATTTAGCAATCAATGATTATGATCGATGTATTTCCCTCCTTCTTGTTTGCACGATCACGTGCGTTCATATGCGTTACTGAAGAGCTCGCTATCTTTCTATCGGCTAATTATTAATACTTACGTTTTTTATGTGTGTATGTAAATAATTAAATTAAGTGCATGACAGCGTTATATTATACACTTTAGATTTAGAGATGTCATATAGCTGGATTCTTAGTAGATCTTTTAATTTCAGAAATTAAGTGGATAAGAGAAAATTTTTTAATTGCTTTTATCTGTTCCGCAATGTATCCGCGCACGTATTTTGCATGGCAGAAAAATTAGACACCAGGGAATGCATATGGTATTGGTAGCGACGATGTTGCATGCGATTACCTTGCGCAACCGCGAGTTTGTAATTAATATAGGCTTAATGGTTCAAGATCGATACATATGCGACCGCTCAAATAACGAAGTGCGGTCGCTTTGACGTTAATTAATTTCAAGTGCATTAGCAGAATTGCAGCCCGCGGCGGTAGGGTCTTGCGAACATCAGTGTGATTAATAAGAACTGGACTCGCGATCTATAAAGCTGTGAGGCCAAAATGGAAAGAGGGATTGCATATCGCGTGCTGGGAACTCTGTCACAGAAATACAATTCAAAATGTAATCCGCACGTCAGGCGGACGCATATGCGAGAAGCGATAGAATTTCGATTAACTAAAACAAACGGGCAATGCTCTCGATATCTGTTGGAAATACTAGGAAGATTAAAGATCGGGGAAAGTAATTGACACCACTTATTAATAATATGCGATATTTTTTTTCTGATGTAGGAAGATCCCTTTGCACATGATAGAACAATCATGTATCTTACAAGAGATATACGTTTTATGTACATTTGCATCGTATTATTACAAAGTAGCTTAGATCTACGCGTGTCCATAATTATGATCTTATCGCCTTCCTATCATTAATCTTAATGATATTTTTTTTATTCTTTAATTATACATCGTCTAATGTAATGTTACAGGATAATATACATTAGATAGTATACACGAAATATACACTCACAATTAAGTAGGCATTCTCGCATATACTTCTGTCTTTTATCAGAAAACACATTATAATAATTAAGTTATCGCGCGAAAAAGTGCAATGCGAACTTTTTTTATAAAGTTTAAGTCCCTCGAACAGACGAAGAGTACCATAGAAAGAAACGACTATATAACAAGATTCTGTAGGACGAGACAATTCTCACTTCATTATTATTCTCTCTCTCTCTCTCTCTCTCTCTCTCGCTCGCTCGCTCTCTCCCTTCTCCTTCTTTTTCTAATATATTCTCGATATCTCGTGATAGAACTCTGAATGAGTTTTTGTATCTCTTCTCTCTTATATTTACGCGCAATCATATATTCATTATTATCTATTTACAAGAGTTTCCTGGCTACTATGGCCGTATTTGATATGGATAATTATCTATGTTAATCGTAATAATAAGGATAATACCAATGATAAAGACGGCAGTGAGTACTCGTCTTTTAATCGTAAAAATGCAAAGAATATCATAGATTAGATCTTAAAACAAATTCCGATGTGTGACATGTACAAGCTTTTTATGGAAAGTTTGATGACAATTTCCATGCATACAGCCTTTTATTTTTATTTACAAGGATAAGCTTGCTATCTTGTTCTTTCTACTCTCTCTCGGAAATAAAATTCGACTTTCCCATGGACTGACATCGTTTATCAAGTTGCACATTCGTAATTCACATTTATTGCTAAATCCGCTTATCTTCATTTAAATATATGTATAAAATATTTGCACTCAAAGTATGTCTTATTTAAGTAAAATTCAAATTCAGACAATCTAGAGTTCAGCGTTAAATATGAGCTACGAGTGTGAATTTTATTTTCGACGGAATTGTGGCAAAAATATGAAAAGAGGAATAATAATTTTCGCCATTGAAGATATGCAATTTGGTAAAAATTGCCTTTCGATAAATGTGAATTCAGATTTTGGATTGTCTGTATTCGACTTAGGATCGATTCCTAAGATTAATAAATGTTGTTTTATTGTTGATAATATTAATTCAAAACAATAAACTTTCATGACATTGTTCAGTAATGATAGTGAAATATTATATTAAAGATATTTATAACTGATTGTTGCATAATATTTTTGATGTCTCAAAAATATATTTTACACATATTGTTCAACACTGATTTTATTTAAAAGGATAAAAAATACGAGATAAAAATAATTTTAGCTGTCTCGTAATGAAAAATTGTTAGAAAGAAGAGAAATGGAAAAATGAACACTGTTGCCGGGCTAAATAACTGAATATTTGCATGTTGATATAATTAATGTGATTAATTAACCTATAAATATTAACACAAAAAAATTAAAAAATATATGTAACATAATCAACATGACGATACGGAATATTTTCTGGAATAAAATTAAAATTGTGGTTAAAGAGAAAATTTTCTCTCTTCCAAAACAAGTTTATATAATAATCTGTAAGTGAATTCATTAATGAAAAGATAACGTTTTCTTTATTAATAAATTTACAAAAATGACAATAAAAGTTAATTAGTTAAATAATATTTTGTAAAATTTTCCTTTTCATCTGCACAATGATGAACGAAATTATATACTCGAAATTAAATACCGTGTATCTTGTGAATTACTAATTTTTCTATTTCACCATAATCTTTATGTGTAGAACAATATATGAAAGTCACGCTCACCTAGAAAAATACTATTGCAGAAATTAATTTAAGTAAAAAGGACATAATATATAATTTTATTATTTTAAAAAATTGCGCTTTGCTATAGATAAAAGAGATATTGCTCACACAAATACTGAGATTCATCCTGTATATTTTTATAGTTTGTTTCTCAACTTTATTCGCATGTGCACGTGCGTTGTCTGAGAAAATTCTTTGAAACAATTATAAAATGATATCAAATTAAAATTAAATTACCACGAACATTATTGTTCTTTTAAGTTTAGTGAGATACGTACGCGAGATTGTTGCGATATTAGCTAATATCTATCGTCACAGTCCATTTCGGATGCAGAAAGTTTGTGTAACTAATTCGCGCAATGGTTCGAATTATCATACCCATCAAGTCTGGAGCATATCTACTGTTGCTTTGGCGAAGTCCCTCTCCTGTATGATTAATTGTCGTCGGAATCCAGATTACCGTTGATCTCGTGACAAATCGCCGTGTTCAGTCGCCAATGATAGGGCATCGAGGTGCCGGCCGTGCTCGCGGTTTCCTGACCCCGCTGAAAGATCCCGGAGGACCTGCTGGACCGCTATACTAACGGCGGATACTTCTGATCAGGCAGCACGTAACCGGCATCGTCACCCGACGCGGCAGCAGCAGCAGCGACGGCAGCAGCAGCCGCTATATCGTTGCTAGTAGCTTGCGTCTGACTAGTCACTGGATTCAGGTGATGACTAGTCAGATGTGACATGGACGGGGTGAGCGTCATGTTAGGATGATATTGCGGATGATGGTAGTTAGTCTGCGGGCTATGGTGCATGTGGGGGATCTGAGCCTGATAATAATCACCACCGTATACGCTCGAGGTTTGAGCGTAAGCATTGTAACCTTGACCAGCGTATTGGCTGTGATTCACAGAAGCGGACCCCGCCGAGCTCCAGCCGAAGCTGTAAGTCTCGCCATGATGAATTTGATTCATCGCACTTGGATAGGACGATGGTTGCAGTTGGTTGGAGCTCGGTGTCAGTGGCGGCGATGGGGTCGTCAGATTGCTGTTGGCCCCGCTGCCACCGGTTGGCGTCGTTCCAACATTTCGAGGATACGTCGATTGAGTCGACAGGAGCGGGGTCGACAAAGGTGAGTTTCCCGCTACTGGTGCGTCCCTACCTTGCACCGGTGAATCTGGGGAAGATCGTCTACTAGGCGTCGTCGACGAGCTCGTCGATATCCTGCTTCCGGTGCTGCTGTTGCTGTGATTCTGATTTGATCTGGGCGAACCCTTCGACGGAGGGGTCTGCTGTTGCTGTTGCTGCTGCTGTTGCTGTTGTTGATGTTGTTGCAATTGTTGTCTGCATTTGGCTCGACGATTCTTGAACCAAACCTGGAACAAAAAAACCGGAAAGATGCTATGAAATTATGAACGAGTTTATGAACACAATTATCAGTGACTTTTAAGATACCTTTATGATATTTTATTATTTTACGGATATCCAAAAACATCGTGATTTAGAAATTAATTAAGTTCCCGATAAGCATCATACGATATCGGCACACATTTCAACAAGGTACAAAATCTCCAACAGAAGCAGTAGCCCCAGGGATTGTCGAAGAGGAAAGATGTCCCGCTACGAGAGACGAGACCGACCGAATGGGGAGTTAATCGGTGCAATGGGAAAGTAATCGCGGGCGAGCGGGCGTAACATTTCATTAAATCGCAACAATAACAAGGATCCGAAGGGAGGAGCCGTAAGGGGAAGCGCGTGTACGAGCGCGACGTCCCGTCACGCGTGTATTGGAGCATCCCCTGGGATCCTCGGTGGCCACGGTGTTCGCCGGAACGCATGCGCGAATCAGAGCTCGTCGTAGGGTTGTTTTCACCCCTGAGATCGAATAGTTGGTTTTGCTTGTATGTGCGCGAGTAGAGTGTGCGTATATATATTTTGTGCGTGAATACACGCAGGACAACGCGCACACGTATAGACTTTTCGTCCATAGTTACACGTTACGACTACAAACGGAACACGCATACACATATACGCATGACTATCCGAAAGATGTGCACATCTATATAGGTTTTTCTCTCCGGAAAAGGAACGACAGAGAGAGGTCGGGGAGGGGGGACAAAAAGCAACCCCTCGTAGGCCGCAAGCTCGCGAATGCGTTGTGATTTACCCCTCCTTCCCTTCGCCTTCTTCGTCCCTCGTAGTACTCCCCCTCACGTAACCCCCTATAATCCTGCCGGGGCACAATGTGGCCAGGGGTGCGATCCTATGAATCTATGCCCGCGCCTTTAAAAGCAGGACCCGTCGTCGTTGTTGTTATTATCGGCGGCATTGTAACAGTTGTTACAGAGAGCGCGAATCGCTGAAGCGTATGAGATATGAGGGATTTCGAGCTGCACGGCCGTGCATATTCGCCGATCGAGACAGAAGCCACGCGCAATCCTTTCGTCTTTTATCTTGAAACGTGTCGAAATAATAAACGGAAACTTTAATCGCTTACCGAGCCATCTCATGTACTGTTTATATTAGAAAAATATTCTGTCAACAATGGATTATTGAGATATTAGTATGGAAATATATTCAAAACAAAAAAAATATATATATATTCACAAAAGATTTATATTTTTTACTGAACATATATATTTAAAAAAATATACGTATATATATATATATATATATATATATATATATATATATATATATATATATATATATATATATATATATATATAAAACACTCACATATATGAATATACGTATATATAAGAAATATTAATTTCCGTATAAAGAATTACTGCAATTTCAATTCTGTAAATATTATTTATTTAATTCTGGAAATCTAATTACTTTTTACGCGTCACATTTAATCCACAATTAGAATAAAATTTCATATTTTTTCAATACGTCAAAATCGGAAAGTATTATACAAGAGTCAATTCTGAGACTATAATTGCTCGTCCCCAAGTTGTTCTCCTATTTGTTTGGCTTCTACTTCGTCTTGACGGATCCTCATTTCGCAAAAGTCATGTTCCGCGTCGCGCAATAGGGTGCTGAAATCTGTTAAGCGCGATATTCGCGGATATTGCGTATCAACGCGAACGAAACGAGCCCCCGAGAAGACGAGAAAGACGAATCTATGTCGCGGTTGGCGCGACAGACAGAGAACGATCCCATTATAGCAGCATGTTTGCACAACGACACCCCCTTCAGAAGCGGTGAGTGAGGAGAGAGAGAGAGAGAGAGAAAGAGATAGCTACCCCCAAAAACCAACCAAACAGGCCACGATGGCATCCGGAGACCCCCGGGGGCAACCACCGACGGTTTCACGCCTGTACACACGAGAGACCGTCGGTGAGGCCGAGGTGCAAATTGCGCCACCATCTGGTTTACATCCAGCGAACGGAAAACCACCCCAGTAGCCAGGGGGAGGCGGCGCAGCTGCGTTGACACTCTGTTATGACAAATATATTTTCTTATTTGTACTATTAATATGGCCCTGCTGACGATACCCATCCGGGAACGTGTCATCGTCCAGCACGCAGGATTGATGGAGAAAACAGCACGCGAGAGCCGCGGACATTGTTTGCTAATGGGAACGTGATGAACGTTCTGCTCGCGCTGCATGTGTTGTTAATGTTTACTTTATTTCACAACACCAAATGAATGTGAAAATATCAATGTGATAATTGTGAAAATTTAATGTATCTTTTTTACCTTATTTATTTTAAAACATGATATAAAACGCGATAAATCATTCAAATGTAATCAACTGATAAATGTATAAATTGCTTTAAAACTGCAATTAAAAAGTAGAAGAGAAGATTTCATCATGTAAGATATTTGTTTTAGAATCATTATTGAAAAAAAGATTTCATTTTTTAAGAATGAGAATTCACTCTTTAGAGTTAGATTCCATTCAAAAGATTTTAGAGGGTTCTCATTATATTTCGCGTCATAGATTTTCGACTATAAAAATATCGCAAGGCAAAAAATCCCACGTGATAAACGATCGAAGAATTTTGCAATAATTCTAGCCACGCAGAACCGTCTGTGTGCGACTGAATTGCCTAGCTTTTTCTTTTTTCCTATCGACGAGACAATATTTTCCGATTCGTCCTCGGGTCGTAAGTGACGAACGAACGGCGATGAACGCGGAACTCATTCAGCGATGCGTTGCATCGCATCGGTCGCGTTGCACGCAGCTGCGTGGTTCTCTCGACGAGAGAGAAGCGCGTATAGAGCTTTAGCGAATGAGACAGAGCCGGGGGTTATAATCCAGGAACAAATCAACGATATGTTGTATCTCGCACGCCGCGCTACCATGTGTACCTCTATCCATACACACACCTATGGCCCTGCATCAGACTTCTGCTCCCTAACCATCTTCCAGCCTCTGAACTCTTCCCCTGCCTTTAAAACTTTTAGATAGCATCCCTCCTCCAGATATTATTCGTTCGCATAGACACCCTACATGCACAATCGTTCCGTATACGATATATACATCCCGCGTATACGTCGATTGCATTCCCTTCGCTGTGCTACACGTAGGTATACACACACGTGTTTCGTGTATGCGATACACCCTTTTGCAGTTGCGTCGCCATTCACAGCGGCTTAACTTCACGCGGAAACTTCACTTCCCAGGACTCAATTTCCATGCTTCTGTCCTACATATTTTACGATTCCAGTTACGATAGTGCGATATCTGCGCGAAAGAGTCGTCGGTAACTCAAACGGATTCAAATAACAGAAACGCACTGGATTATCAGCGAAATCTATTAAGTAAAGATACAAGAGAAGTTTAAAGACTTATAAAAAAGATTATGTATGAAAATCCATAGATATACGGATATGTACGTAAAAGAAATATTAAGTTATACTGGAATCGTAAAATGCATACGATAGTAGCGTGAAAATTGAGTTTTGAGAAGTTAAATCGCCGTGAATGGCGACGCAACTGCAATCAAAAGTCTAACAAGTTTATTAATCTTTAGTATATATGATTGTGTGAAGGAGTTACATGATTCGTCTCTGCGTATTTCTTTTCTTTAAAATACTAGGAGCACTTGACTAAATAATGATCTTTATTTTTTTTTTAAGTACCACACATAATTTTATAAAGAAATTAAGTGTCGGCAAGAGTGATGAGAAATGAGAAACCTCATTTACATCTCATTTCCGTTGTAGATATATATCTCTATCGTATATTGTCTTGTAGAAGAAATATTTTGCCATAAAACTTGTGTTGACTTGTGTCAACACAAGTTTTACGGCAAAATATTTCATGTTTTACGAAACTACACGGAAATGATTTTGCTGAAATATCTGAAAATTTAACTAATTAAAGTTCTGACAATAATTTTGTTGAACCAAAATAATTATGTAGGATGCTCAAACTGATTGCTAGAATGTCAAAACTTTTTGCAGCATTGCTCATCATGCTTGAGATTTCTACGTAATTGTTTAGACGGTTCAACAAAATTACTTTCAAATTTGTATCTAGCTAAATTTTTAGATACTTCAACCAAATCATTCTTTTCGAAGCCGGATTTTGCAATATATTTCACTCTTAAAAATTTTATAATAAATAAAACGATTTGTTCCTACTCAAATGAGGAACCGTATTTTGTCTCGTAGAAATAATATTTCGTGTGTGAGACCTTTTCGTCTTCTTTCTTTTACGAAATTGCGAAGATGCGTACAGAGTCCGATTTTGCAATTTGATTCTTGAAACATTATAATAAATAAAATTATCTGCACCTCAACCGCACTGTAGTGCAAATCAAGTGAGATATCAGAACGAATTTTTATTTTACTCTTTTTTTGCCCAAAAAAAAACACTATACTCTCCTCCTCCTTTAGACGATTTTCCTAATTACGAATATCGCAATTATATTTTCTTAATATTTTAATCGTAATTTGGAATAAGAAAAATTCATCTTTTCGACAGAGATCTCGTGACTGTCAGAGATCTTCTGCCGGCCTTTAAAGTATACGCAAGAATCACTTTAATAATTTGTATACCTGATGACCGGAAAATCATCGTGTACACTAATAATTAATACAGAAACGTAGAATGCAAGTTTAAATATATTCAAATATTCAATTCTTCAAAACTTTTAGATTGATAACCCCATTTTTTTCTGTTCGCGTATTACGAGACTTTTCTCCGTGTGTTACATGCAAACAACGGGGGGTTGGACGTAATTGAAGCTCAGTATTCGAGGCACGAGAAGAGCCGCGTGATCGTGACTTGGTAACGCCCCGCCGCGAAATAAAGATGTCACGGGAACCGCAATAAAAGCGTCAACGAGCTCGTCGGCACATCTATCAATGTACGAGATGCGGGGCTGGGACAATGGCGAAATGGAACGACGTAGGGCGCGAACATCGCGCTGTGTAAATATCTTAAATCTCACCCGCGATTGCCGAAGCACGAAACGCGCTCCCGTCCATCTCTCTCATTCCTTTTTCCCGCTTCTATTCCTCGCTCTCTCTCGTTTTCGTTGCGTATCGCTTTTTACATCGTGCAATTTGACGCGCAAAGAATGTAATGACTTTAAACGTTAAATTAACATACCGTATGGGAAATCGACGATGGCAATCTCGGATTACTCGTGAAGAGCGCGATTTACTTGCTGAAAGTTCAGAGGACCTTTCCGTCTGCCTCCATTATTATTTCTACATCGTTGACAACGATATTTTAGAAGCTATAAAATCTGCGAGCAGGACGAGAGGGAAAAATATGAAAAAAAAATAATTACCTGGACTCGCGACTCTGGCAGGTTGATCTTAAGAGCAACCTCCTCTCGCATAAAGATGTCCGGATATCTCGTTTTCGAGAATAGTCCCTCCAACACATCCAGCTGAGCTCTGGTGAAGGTCGTCCTCTCGCGACGTTGCTTGCGTTGATTCATTCCTGCAACACGAGGGAAGGAAGCGCTCGTTATTAATTATTACGTTTATAAATATCAGCGAGAAATTTTCTTTTACCACGTATTTGATCCGCATTACTACGTTACGCTCTCAAAACTACTCTACGCAGCGTTCAAAAGGAGTAATTAAAAAGTTTAGCCAATTACCGAATCGATTTCAATCTATTAAATCAGAGCTGAGATTAATTGCACATTTCGGATGGATTTCGTTGTCAACGCTTACTGTCTTCCTCTTGCCACTCGTATCTATAGCAACAAACTGCCGAATGTTTATAAATAAAGCGCGTGACCGGCGTGACGTCCATATGTGTCCAAAATATAAATCAATTCATTTCTGTGGTTAGTTTCAAAGTAAACAACAGCCATATTAATGTATATATACATTTAGTAAATAATAAATAAATTTGAGTAAAATTTAATACATTTTCTTGAGTTAAATTGTTTAACTCCATTGTTTTAATGAAACTAACATATTGAATAGGAGCAGTAACGAGCCATAGAAATGATTAGGAAAAAGGAAAGAGCTCAAATTGGGTACAATTTGACATTATGGCTAAGTTCGCTTTGGCGCTCATCACGTTTCATCCTTGTTGTTTATTAAATATTAAACAAGGACAATTGATGCTCACAAGCGCTATAAGCGCTAAAACGAACGCAGGTGGGTAGGTAAATTTAACAGTGAATTATATGATAAAATCTTCAGCCACTCCTCAATCACAAGTAGCTCGTTAAAAGTTTAGTTTTTCCTTTTTTAATAATTTCAGATTAATAGCTGAAAATGTTTTTGTTATCAATATATTAGCAATATATTAACAATAAAAAGATTTTCAATTCTAAAAAGTAAACTTAAACAAAAGGTTCTAACTAGCTATTTAAGGTTCAAAATTCTTATAAATTGAATTGAATTCTATCACAATGGGGTTTATAAACATTCGGCGGCTCATTGCTAAGATACGAGCAAGAGGAAGTATAGTATCGACAACGACATCGATTACAAATTAAATCAATCAATGATTTCGTAATGTAAACGGTTTTATGCTTTTTCACAAAATGCGGTAATTGAAAGAGGAAGAAACGGAAGTTATAACCGTCAGAGAAACTATACCATTATCGCGAAACGAGATTCGATATTGAGACGTCAATACGTTCGCACAGAACGACCGACGCCGATGTCTTCAAATATGGAACGCTTGTGACATCGATGTCTTGTACGAAGACGGGGGTTGTTGCCGTGCTTGGTTGCCTCGTAGGATGGCAAAGGGGGTTTGACGCGGAGGGGCGTGAGCGTTGCGAGGTCGCGATAGCGTAATTTTGAACAGCTCCCCCCTACAGCCCACCCCACGCTACCTTCCTCGTGCCATCGAGCCTCGCTTGGCTCGTTTCGGGACCCACGTAATCCGCTTATGAGGGGGTCACGGGGGTGCCAGTGAGGGGGACAGAGAAAGAGAGAGAGAGAGGGAGGGAGGGAGGGAATACACCCCGGAATACACGAGCATCCAGAGGACCAAAGTCGCGGTTCGCTCCCAGCTGCCGTTGAAAACGACGACGATGCTGGCCCTCGACAAGCATGCCGGCGAGTATATACAGTTCGTCCTCGTCGCGAACCAATAAAAAGGAGCGACTGGAAAACTGCGCCTCGCTAGTGTCTCCGGGTTGGAGGCCGGATCGTAAAGTCGCAGGCGGAATGATGGAGTCCGGAGGATTCGCCGGCCACGCGAGATATTTTTATGCGCCGAATTTTCGTGTTGTTCTGCGCAGAGAACTCGTGATATTAATAAGAAAAAAAACAAGAAGGCAAAAGGCAGAAGTAGTCGAGATGCGCTCTAATCTGTACGAGTATCAAACCTGTAAGTTTTTTTTTCTCAAAGCAAAAGTTTCATCCAATTTCATAGTAGCGAATAATCGACGGTCATACGAGTTGAATAATTGAGAGAATAGGGTCATTCATGAGAGACTGGTGAAGCCCCGCCTCGTAAAGTAAGTGTACGTCTATAATCGTCCCATTAAGACTTGGGAGACACGCGAGGCAGCTGTTTTCAAGACGATCAATGCTTTCTCTTTCTCCTTTTCCATTCCTCTTGTCCGCCATACTTGAAAGGTCCTCCACTCACTGAATACAATAAAGAAAAAGAGTTACACCATCGAGATGCAAAAAAGAGAAAGTTCGTGTCAGCAGGGAAAGATATGATGCAGAACAAAAAACAGAATAGCGATTTAAAGACACGAAGTAGCATACCGAAAAAAAAACAAGCTTCCGAAGGAATCTTTAGAAACTGTATATAAACTGTGTATGTGACAAACATAAAGAGTAATCGCGATAAGTACAAAGAATAATATTACGACAAAAATAATTGAAGTAAAACCGATTATGAAAGAAAAAAATTTAATTGAATAGCTATGTAGTAATTAGAAAAATTAAATTAACTTTATAGCCTGTATTCTATAAGAAGAAAAATTTCCTACGTCACATGTTGTAACTGTTGTCTATTTATACGATATAGTGTCTGTATAAAAAATATATGTGTACTGTTAGTGACAAAGAAATAATGTAACCTAATTTCTTGAGTTAAATAGCATTTTATTATTATTGATGTTCATACTTTGTGTATCAAAATGTAAATCTATTCATTTCTGTGGTTATATAATACTTTCAAAATAAATAACGTTCAAATAAACGCATGCATTTAATAAATAATCAACTAAATTTGAGTCCAATTTAATACATTTTCTTAAATTAAATTGTTTAACAATTGAGCTGAATAAGACTCCACAGAGTAAATCAATTAATATTATAATGTGTGCCAATAAAAGCCGACAGGCAGATATCCGTGCGTAATCGTTTTATTATGAATAATGTAACGTAATGTAAACCGAAGAGTAAAATAAATGTTTCGATTCCTCTCAGTAAATGTGAAGTGGGTAATAAAGAAAAGTCTATATACAGATCTTCAAATTGATTAAACTTATGATATATATACATCAGAAGAAGTTATAAAGTTGTACATGTTGTGTAAATGTAGTTATTAAAAAACTTTCTCTTATTTTATGTAGTCGCAATTAATCAATGACATAACAATCATCTTACATGGATAATACTAGAATTATTTTATAATCTATATTAACCGTGGAAGTTACAATTGTAATGATATACTCGATGTGTATCTTAGTATATCTTGAAAGTGACGTTGTCTAGTCAAAGGGCCACGATCTTGTGAGAGAAAATTAATGTGATAAGAAATGGAAATTTCAGGATTTTGCAAATAAATTTAATAAATTCAAGTTTAAGGAGCAACTCCTCTTTTCGTAAATTTAAACCTTGTTTTTATCTGTATAAATCATTTCAAATATAATCTTTTGTTTAATATTTTTTTCTAAAATTGTAATGTCATCCCAATTAAAATTATATTAATTACTCATTCCGAAAGCTATATATTTTTGTTAATGTATAAACTTTGTAAATTTAACTTTGTAAATTGTTTTAGTGAAATTGACGATAGGAACAGTGCCGACCTATAGAAATGATTAAAAGTAACTCAAATCAAATATAATTTAACATCATGAATTTAACAGTGTAATTAATATATACAAAAAATTATTTTACGAGAAAAATGAATCAATCAACTTCATCAACTATCAAAATAAATATATATTCATACAGTTTAAGGTTCGATTGAAAGCGTTTTGACACAAAACGATAGTTTACCAATGAGAGCAACGACAAAAGCGAAGTAACTGTAGTTCTAAAGGAAGGAGCGGTCCAGAAGAAGGAAACAAACATCATATCAATCGCATCTCTCGTGGGTGCTCCTCTCGAGTTCGAAGAGAACCCGGGATGAAGAGGATGACGACGAACGACGACGACGACGGTACCTGCGTGATTGGCTAACGAACTGGACGAGTGGGCTACCAGTATGGCACCAGAGTAGATCCACGGAACAGATTGCGTCAAGCTCACAATGTACAAACTCCACGGTGGTCGGTATTACCGCCATCGCTCCGTGTGACGGACGCGACACACCCGCGATCGTTTGATCTATGATCCGTATCTTGGATGCCGCCTCCGGCACGAAACCGCTATTGATTATGGACACATGGAAATTTTAGAATGAAACAATCTCACCGTTGTTCTCGAGATAACATGGATCAAAAAAGTATCTGTACATTTTATTTAGAATATTATCAACACTAAGGTGCCACTTTACGAGACATGAAAAGCAGTGTGATCACGTGGTTATTTATTATATATATATGACGCTACACTCTTTTCACTATCTAACATCAATTTTAGTTGTAATCTATTTTGATACTGAAAATGAATTTTTAACATGGAAATTAAGGCACTATTAATACGATTGTTATACAAAAATCGGTAAATGAACTGTCATTATTTTTTATAATAATTCTGTAATTCAATTATTTACTTATATTCGTCGATATTCAAGAGGTTCTTATATTGTAGCGGTTTTATGCACACTGAATTATTCGTGGAACAAATCCCATTTGATTGGGAATCTTTTTCGTGTCCATAGTCGCTGTATTCCCTGCCGTAGCATTGCGTGGAGAATAGCTCTGAGAGGACTCTCTGATTGTCGAGTGGGCGTAGGTGCTACTGTTAACGACGGCCTTTGCCATCGCCCCAGTGACAGCCAGGCACTTCTACAACCAAGACAATGATTGTCCGATTATGACTCTCTACTCGCTTCCTTGACACTCAAGGCGCCGCCGAACAAGTTTTTCAAAGCCGTGTTTTGTGCGCTTAATTTGGCGCCTGAATATTTTAAGCACGACATTGTAAATCTGTGATTAAAAAATGAACCTAAGATTTCCGGGAAGAAATGTTTTCTATCACTCGCTATGTTTAAGACGATAATATTGAAATATCAAGTATTTTCAATAAAGATGCCAACTGCACTACCTTTCTCTGTTTAAATCAAATATAATTTTACGAAAAAGTTGTTAAAAGTTACGTATTATTGAATAACAAGCGAGAGCAGTTTAGGATTCATTTCGATTGATTTAAATGGGCGAAAAATCTTGACAACCGTATCGTGCTTTAAGCAGAGACAGTCAGCTAAGCGACCCTAATGGATCGGCAAACACCCGCTGACTCTCGGAGTATGATTCGATTTATTATCGTCAGTGAGACGCGATACCGGGAGGGTTGATATAAGGGTTGCTCCGCCTCATTGGCCTGCAACGAGATCAGACGCGACCCTAATAGTAAATTCGTTTTGTGTTTATTGGATTCTTCCGTGCCCACCACGTTTCGCTGTTTCGTCGAGATCTGCATAAGTCAATGGACCACTAACAAAATTTTACGATGATCTCTCTTTCATGCACAATCCAATGGTGCAATCCGCCGGTACACCTGCATATATGTACGAAATTTGGATGAATCTTTCGCATTATAATCGAAAACGAAGATATTCATTACATTAACTTTGCTAATTATTCACATCTACATTGTTAGATACAAAAAAATAATGGTTCTCTTCAATTAAATAACATTTTGTTATTTTTTACTACCATATGTGTCAAAACATAAATCAATCCATTTCTATGTGGTTGAATTATTTAGTTTTATTATAAATAATGTCCATTATTAACATATGTATTTAATAAATAATGAACTAAATTAGAGCCAAATTTAATACATTTTCTTGTGTTAAATTGTCTAACTCCATTGTTTTAGTTAAACTAATATAAATGCTATATTAAATAATGATATATTATATAAAGTAGTAGCGATCTAAAAATGATTAAATTGAATATGATTTGATATTATGAATTTAACAGATGCTGTAATAGTTTTTTTAATACTTATAACGTTTAATTATATATTTTGTAACTTAAGTATTAAATAGAAGTATTTAAAGCGTATAAAATAAAAAAATGGTATAAATAGGAAGAAGCAACTGATTTCGCTGACGTCATTCAAAGCTAATTAAATAAATGAACTTTCTCCGTTTATCTAAAATATGTGCAATCTGACGAAAGATCTAAGAAAAGAGAAAATTTATTGAACTATGATTAGATTTAATGGATGTCAGTAAGGTGCTTAATTTACAGTGCGCAACAAAATAGGCAGCGACGTGAAAATAATTAACGGCGTTTATGAATACGTTATTACTTGTTGTTTCTCGATGTATGTAGACTTCCGCGCGGGAAAGTGCGCGCAGTAAATTAATACAAATAAATGCATGTCCGATTTAGATAACGTCGAAATGCCCGTTGCTGCTGAAATACGGCGTCGGGAATTTATCTCGGGTGCAACATATCACTGATATGCCAGGAATTGACGGTAATTAATCACAATTATATGTATAGTCGACTGAATAATAAGCGCAGCGGTGTCGGTAAAATTTCCACCATCGTTTAATCGCGATTTTATCTGCGTCATTCTCGTTAAAAAAAATTTTGTTTGAGGCAGACGCATTGTATAACCCAACACTATTTTCCCTCGTGATTTTGCGCGGGTCGATCCTTAAAACTTTAAACCGCGGAGCTGGTTTGCCATATAGCCTCCGTATTTAACAAAAATGTTACATAATATCTTGATTTTATCAGTTTTGAATCTGTCATTCTGGCAGATTATTTAACGATGCAATAAAAAAGGTATTCACTTAAAGCAGCTGGAAATTGCAAAATGCAAACAAAAATATTATGAAGCATCATTACACTTTTTAACCGAATATGATTCTCTTCGCTTATTTGTATTATTCATATCGATCGATTTTTCACTTATTATTTAAAGTTATTTGCAAAGGGATGAAATTTTTAATCGTTGATAATATAATAGAACGCTAGGAATCCTTAAACAACGCGTTGGTAAATAGTAAACAAAGAACGAAGAAACGAGGAGCCGTAAAATGGCGGATTCGTCGCAGAACCGGGTGACTACTTTGATATTCATAGAGGCGAAACGTGGAGGATGAGGAAGAAAGACAGTGGAAGGCGGGGCACGCTCGGGCACACAGAATCGAAAATTAATTAAAAGCTAAAACGCGAATAGGCTGCTACATGGCGGTGCTAGGGACGGAGGGCTGGATTATTGGGGGGGACCGTGGGATGACAGCACGTGGCGGGCGGTGACAGAAGAGGGAATTCTAAAAGGCCATCAGCTACGAAAACATTTGGCCGACTTTGCGTTTACAACGTGACCACCGTATGATCGCAATGCCGAAGACTCAAGACGAAAAACTGAAGTGACGCGTTATTTTTATCAGTCTTTTTCGATATATATTTCGATTATGAATATCCAACTCACGAAATTCTTTCGCGAAATTCTTTAAAAATAATGATTTTAATGACATATCTTTCATGATTTTATTTACTTTCCAGGCCATCAGGTTAGAAAAAGATTTTAAGCATAAAGTCCATTATTCGCGACAAAATTTCATATTTCTCGACAAAAAAGTTTTTGTCTCATCGAATTTTTTCTTTGCATATTTTCTTATATTATATTTTATAAAAAATAATATATTTGAGGTAACCAAGTTAGACAAAGCTCATCCTATAAATATATCTTGACTTTTCAAATCATCTGTAGATAATATAGCGCATATAATTATAAATAGGATTCTGTCTCGAATTTTGTGAGTTATAGACAAATCTAAAAATTTAAGAAAACTATGAGAGTTCAAAAAAAATTTTCTCTCAACACATAGCTATAAACACCACCACCATTATTATTATATATCATATTTTCTTCAAAATCATACCTTCGCGAACGTAGTACGGATGGTATCTGTGTGTCCTGTGTTTAATCCCATTGCCAAATTGATGGTAATTCATTTGTTGGTTTGGTACGTAAGAAATTTGCTGATTTGCTGTGAACGGAATTATCGCAAATAACGGAAAATTTTTCAAAAATTCTTGTATTGTGTTTCAAAGAATATAAAAAAGTATTTTAAAAATTATTTCAGACATCTATAATTTAGGACAGAGTACAGAACAAATATTAAAAGATATACCAAACAGAATACATGCTAATTATAATTATATAACATATGTTCTAACACAAATTATAAAAACATATGTATATATATATTTTTTTTTTCAAACATGTTTTATTAAATAGATTACATAAAATTATAAACTGAATCGTATTCCGAAATCTGTCCCGAATTAAAAGATCGTCTAAAGCAGAGATATATATATATATATATATATATTATTATACTATATTATTATACTTTATTTATTAAGCTAAAACTTCTTTGTTAAAACTATTTCAGTTGTCAAGTAATTATACTGCATCGACATTAGAAGAAACCAAAAGAAGTCCTCATTCATAAGGAAGTTCCAGCAGGAAGAGATGCAAAGTGTGGCCGTGGCGGATAGCCATTCTCATGCGATAATCTAACGGATATGAACGTAAGTACGTAACAAAATACCAACATGCGTCAGAGACGGGCGAGTAAGCGGATAAGTTTCGCGTTGCAATGTTCCAAGCGACGCCCGTCTTCCTTGCGACGTCCATTCTCGAAAAGTTATTTCGTACTTATTAAGTAACGATGGCGAGCATGAATTACTAATTTCGAGAAGCACAAGGAATCGTGAGATGAAGACTTTATATACTTTATGCATCAATTTTCCACGTAGCAACGAAAGTCCGCGCGTAAAGTCGGCAAAATTTTCAAGTCGCGGTGTTTACGTGAGGGAATTTCAACGCGGTACGAGAGAAACCTGGGTAAACCCAGCGAATCTCTCTCGCGCCGTATCAATAACAGAGGACATAAGTTCCGATGGAACATCGCGGCGATAAAATGCGAAAGAAACGACGAGGAAGAAGCGAGATTTCCGAAAGTAAGTGTCGATGTCTCGCCGTACGCGACATTTCACTCAGCCTCGAGTGTTTGTCTTGCAATTAGGTTTGGATTTATGTTTGGCCTCTCCACGCCCGCCTACTCAATTTAACCATGACACGCGCCGCCACGGAAGCGGCTCTTTCGTTGCGTTTCGCCGTTTCGCGGCCACTTGGCAACGGCGAACGTATAGCACGTGTCTGCGCCACGTGCCGCTCTTAACCTGACACCTAATTGAGTGATTGAAATCGTACCGAATTGACAAGCGAAGAACGAGCTGGCCTTTAGCAGTGACAATAATCGCGACGTTTATTTCGGGGGAAAAAAAAAAAATTGAATTTACAAATTGTATCTTGCAACAATCTCGGGAGGATTTTAATGTATCAAAAAACAACGTTTGTCAATGACAATCGAAAATGATGATGTGATTGTAAGAACCAAACGCAGTTGATGTGTAAATTATTCCAAAATAAATAGTAAACAGTTACATATGGACATCACTCTCAATTTTTAAAAATACAAAAAATTCAAGGCTAATAAGATAGCGCGGAAAGAGAGATACAGATTATTGAAATGGAACAATTATTTATCATACTCCGTTTGATATGCGACTCTTTATTCCAATTTTGAATGTTTTTTCATTTCTCTTTGAAGTCCTCCTGAGCAATGTAGATACAAAAACTTTATTCGCAAACAATTTAATATTCTTAAAATACGGTCACTCACAGATTATATATTAGAACTGAAGTGGAGTTTCATTTAATAAATTACGATTATAAGATTAGAAAATTATTATACATTTTTAATTAAATATAAATTCTCAACAAAATGAAAAAAATTAATGGAAATGAGCGTTATAGACAGAGCACAATTTTATATATGTAATATAATTTTATATATGTAATATTTTATATATATAATATATATATTATATATATAATTGCGCACTGTCTAAAGCGCTCATTCCCATTATCCCTTTTTTACTTGTTATTTCGGATACTTTATTTACTATTGTTTACCTTTTTAAACATCATAAATACATACAATGAAGGGACAGACTGTGACAAACGAACATTTTTTTTCGGCTTTAAGCCATGCTCAACGCAGGAATATAAAATTATCTTTCACTCTCGAATAAACCCTGACGAGTCATCCTTCAAATGTAACGTTCCCAAAAGTATACCAAGAAAAGCAAACAATAGTCCATTGATGTAAAAAAACATTTTTGGTAGAAAATACCGTTGCACATCACATTGTTATGTTAAAATTAGCCAGTACATACCTATATTGAGAAAAATTTCTAGTTGAAAATGAACGAATCAATAAATTCTGATCATATCAGTCAGAATTCCGATTATGATTGGATGTCTAGTTGAAATAAAGAGATGTTTAGTTATAATGAGCAACCGGAATTTTTATTGATATGATCAGAATTTATTGGCTCATTCATTTTCAATCAGAAATTTTTCTCAGTGTACAAAATCATTAAAACAAAAGTCAAAACAGTCTTGAGATAAAAATTAAATTAAAATAAATGAAAATAACTAGACTGAGTATTAAGAGTTCAGAGGAGAAATTTGTCATTGAATTGTCGAGAAAGATTCTCAACAAAAGTAGATATCGCGAGATATATATATATATATACCTTTTAAGGCATAAGCGTATATGTATACTTTAAGTCAAATATTTAGGGCGGGAATTATTCCACCGTGAACTTCTTCCAATGACAATGTATTTCTTAACATTACACGATAGATACATTACGTCTTGCGACTTCGAGAAGCGCATGTCGCGCACGAGCCCGGGATCAAAATCACTTGTTCCATGGCTCCCCTTCGATTGACAATCGGCAGGAGGAAATCGTCGACAGCGGTGTCTTTATTCATGCGCCGCGACGCCGCCGCTGCGACGAATGGGAGGAAGTTAAGTGGACGGGCAATTTCTCTGTGACAACAAATAGTAACGCGGATGGGAAAGGGCGGTGGCCACATGACGCGATTCCCACGTATCTCGCTGCAAGCCATGAGTCTTGGAGAGAGTCCTACGTTTGCGCATCCCTTCTTGTCTCCTCGACAAACTTTTCGCCCGAAGCTATCATTCTTTCACCGATCAGGGTGCGATCGTACCTTCGTTTGCACGATTGCATAACAAAATAAACATCGACGCGCGACTAAAATTAACGTCGTGTGGAGCGACACGGAATAGCCCTTTCCGTCCACGCGTTGTCGTTGACGAACACCACGTGAATTAATTAGCGAAAAGTCTTCTAAAATCTGATTATGTAGCTCCAAAATTTAATTATCATCATACGCGAGAAATATGGAATATGAAAGAGATAAACCCTCATCTACAACTAGGAAAATTACACCTAAATTCTAAAGCGTCCTATATTAAAGTGCAAAATGCAAGTAAAGTTTCACTTTATGGCGATTGACAGAGGAAAGTTTAAACTTTCTTTTATCTACAATTTAGAGCCTCATACTATCAATCGTATATACGGATCATGCAACTATCTAAAATTTTTTTTAGGTACAAATAACGATAAATATATCAATGAGTAGAATGTAGGACCTCGCAGAATTATCCGTGAGAAACTGCAAGATCAAAAGGAAAGTGAATCTCGGCCTTGTAGCTGTAATTAATAAACGAGACGTTTGTTGTACAAGCGGACTACTAATAAAAGTATTCAACGGCACGAGTCGTCGCGCTCTGTTCCCTCCGTCCACATCCTTTGTTTCTATTTCCATCTATGGACCACGCCAGCCTCCAACCCCGCTGAACCCCGCGATGTTCTCGCGTCGTTGTCCCTCTCGCGTTCGGCGGCTTTTCGTGTAGCGCGGATACACGCCTACAACGGATAGAGGCAGCCGCGCTGGACGTAGGTACGTAGGGACCTAACGGACAGATCCGTGTTTCCATGGAAACCCACCTATCTGCGTCGGTTGGACCTATACTGCCTGCTGCCACCCTGATAAGCGGCTTACTCTCATGGTTCTCTCTACTCTTCTTCGCCGGAGCATCCCCCGACTCCCCTCCAACCACTCCATCTCCTCGACACTCTGCCCCCGGCACCCCGTATTCTCCGCCACCGAACCCCCTTTCGAGCGGTGGGTGAAAGAGAGCGAAACGGAGAAAGACGGACGAGAAAGAGAGGCGAGGTGATGCTGCTTTCCGCCAAATCGTGCCGCTAAAGGAAAGCGACGCGAAAGCATGCTATCTTCGTCGTGCTTTCTCTTTCTCTTTTCTCTCTCTCTCTCTGCCCTTGTTCTACTCTGTACTCTAGCTTTCTCTCTCTCTTGCTTTTTCAGTAGCACACACACCCTCATCTCCGCCTTCTTTCCGCGATCTCTTTTCGTCTACGCACATTCTGTGGCATACTGGAAAATTTATGCAGTCAATTACCGACCCAGCAACACGACCTTCGAGAATGGAATATCGCGGAACACGAAGGGAATTCTCTCTCCGAAACCGCTGCTTCTTTCTGTTCGACGCGCCATGGTCGATCGTCCGAGATTTTCCATTCGCTGAGTGCTTGGAAATGTCGATTCTCTGCAGGGGGACATTCTAAGCTTTCGTTCGACCATGAAAGGCATAATGGGTGATCGCGATTGTTCTTGTTATCGAAGCTCCCTCAAATCTCATGCCGATGTCGCGAAAATGTTCCGCAATCCCGAAGCGAACAAAACACGCTTCCTCAATTTTCCATTACAAGAACAAAGTTCAAAACGTTGCTTATGTTTCGTAATAAACGTGTATATTAACGAATGTATACAATTGTTTAACATTTGAATTTTTTATATTTATGCGGAAACTTAAAACTTGCAAGAGATGTGCACTCTTGTGCGTGTTTTTCGCCAACTTGCTACGACAGCTATAGTTAAGAAGCCCCGAGATTGCTCGACACATTCATATGGCTTCAGTCGATGCATCGATTTGCATGGCAATCAATAACGGCGAATATGACGTCCATGTGAAATACTTTTACAGTGACGAATAGCAAAGTACTTAACATACTAATAAATCTGTATAATCCACATATGAGAAAATAATGATAGTTTTTAATTTGCACGCAATATAAGGGAAAAAGGGCTTGCAAATTGAGCAATGCTAGGAGCGTGATAGAAAAGGGAGACACAAAAAGAGGGATTTATTTTATGTGTGTACAATAGACTTTAAAAGCTTTTCTTGCTGTTGAATGCGCTGTGAATATCAAATTGCTGGGTAATTTAGGTACATTACATTTTCTCCGTTTTAAAATATTTACTTCGAATTGCATCTCAATAAAAGAAAAATCAGGTTCGTTAGAGTATCAAAATTTAATATATTTAAGAAAATAGAAAAATTGATTTCAAAAATAAAAATTCATCATTTCTATATTCATTATATTAAAAGCAATTTGATAAACAGATATATATTCAAAATTTAATATTCAGAATAAAAGAGAAATCACGCTCGTTAAAATATTAAAACTTAACAAATTCAAATATTAAGAATTAACAAATTTAAAAAAATATTATTTTAAAAATAAAAATTTATAATTTTTATATTTATTAAAAACATGTAATAAATATATATTTTCAAAATTTTATTCAGAATTAATTGTGAATGTTTCGTTATAAACTGATTTTATATAAATGCTTATAACTTACATTACAAATGATTTAAAATTTAATTTATTTATTTATTAATAACAATTTATTTCCTGCACATATAAAAATGTCCGAAAAATTAAATCAATCTATTAGGAACCGGAAAAATTACAATTTCCAATGGAGCCCTCCCTTAAGCTCAAAGAGATTATCCGACGGCGTTTGTTGAATGAATACGACACAAAATCTGTCACACTGTTGTAACGCCGAGTCGCACAGATTAAACACTCGTCTTTTATTTCAATGGATTAGCCGGCTAGATCGATCATCATCGGAAACCTCGCTCATCTTTTCTCCGTTTCGCGATATTTCATAGTTCATTAACGGTTTTTCCGCGAGAAGCATTTTCAGAATCGTATTAAACACGATACGGTTAATAAACACGGATACCAAGAACGGTACCGCTGTCGCCACCTCACGATTACGTGAAAACTTTTCCGCATGCACATCAGTATCGAACCGTGCGAATCCCTTGCTATTACGACCCGAATACATACATTCGGTCTTATTATTGCCAATAACTGAGCCTACCGTTATTCTCGAACAGGAACGTGCAAACAATTCTATTTCTTTTTTCAACGTCAAATAAAATATTCCTCGCAAGTAGGATATAGCATTTAAATTAATTACGAATGACTTGTTAAAAATTCAATTTGCTTGGTTCGATCTTAACTCCGATTTAAGAACTTTAAATAATCATTCTTTAAGTATTATATCTATGATTTGTGATTATTTCGATTATTATATCAATCCCAATTTTATATAATGTTGCATGCCATATAACCCATTGACCGTCATAAAATGTCATGCATAGACTTTTATGCATCAGTTTCAGTGAGTTCAATTTTCGATGCCATGGATACCAGAAAATATATATATGAGAACAAAAAGTATTCGTACCAGGAAATTTTTTATAAAAAAAGTCTTATTTGTAAAAAATAAACATTAATTGACAATTTTATACAATAAATATATTCTGTTTTAATATAAGCAAATGAGCTTTGCATATATTTCTTTTATTTTTAGAAGCTAAATTTCTCAACTGTACGAATATTTTTTGAGCATTCAAACAATAGAATTTCTAATTTTCCCTTATTTTTCAGATGATATATTTTCTATAATTAATACACATCTTTTTGGTATGTAATTTTAAGAAACATACAGTCTGTTTATTCTTTATGAATAAATTGTTAATTACCCAGCAAGAAATGATCGTCAATTAAACGTCGAATCGACATCGAATTGATGTTGAAATCATCGTATCGATATCGATTCGACATCAATTCGATGACTCATTTCTCGCTGGATAATATTTACTTTTTAAAAATAAAGTTTTTTTAAAAAATATTTTCTCTGTACGAATACATTTTGCACTCACTGTATCTTACTTTTCAAATCGTCGTAAAGAAACACAGATTTTATCATTGACTTAAATTTTATCGTGTAAATTTAATTAAAATTTAATATTTTATTGACAAAAATTACCGAATAAGTTTATGATTATGGTAAAAGTGGTATATGGTAAAAGTTTGCAGTTAATCTTATCGGAAAAAAATAGATTTATAATTTTTAATTGTGATTAGATTTGTGTGTCTATAAAAGCTGCACCAATGTAAGATTAATTTCTCGATTTAACTTGGTTTACTGTTTATCTTTTTCTAATTTTTAGAAAATTTACTATTTATCTTTTTCTCAAAGAATTAAAAAAATCTCTCTTAGAATTAGAAAAAAATAAAGATAAAATTGAACCAAGATTAGAATTAATCTTACATTGGTGGAACCGAGCTTTATGCCCGGTTCAATGTAGATTAACTTTAACTTGGTTTAATTTATTTTCTATCCTTTTCCTACTTTTTAAAAATCAAAGAAAGAATAAAACTATGAATAGAAATGGACATTAGATACACGAATATAATCATAATTAAAAATTATAAATCTATTTATTTTCGACAAGACTAACTGTAAACTTTTGATGGAACTGAGTCTAAGCAGCGAAATTTGAACTCGTCTTGAAAGAAAATAAGAGTTTTACCTTGTGGGAATGCGGCTGCCAATCCATGCTCGAGCGCATGATGCGTATGAGCGTGCGGGGTGAGGGCGAAGTGCGACGGCAAACCGGGATGCGCACCGGGATGCGGATGTGAGTGAGGATGCGGATGGGTGCCGACTCCCATCGGATGACCGTGTGGATGGTATTGATGAGGGTTTCCGGTCGAGGCGCAGGTTGCGCCCGCCGCTTTCAGGTAACCCGCCATATTCAGGCAGCCCGCGATGCGAGAAACCAGTTCACCCGCCACCGCGCTGTTGTTATCACGCTCCCTTATCGCGTGACTCCCTTCGTTCTGGTCGCTGGGCCACCAGCTGTTCTCTACCCGACGAACGGCGTCGTTCGCGTATAATGGCCTTGCGCTGTCTTTCGATAGGAAGTCTTGGCGTGAAGTCTTGCACTGTTCTCCAATAGGAGGTTTTGGCGTGAAGTCTTGCGGCAATACACTGCCGTAATGATAATCTTTCTTGATCTGTAAAAGAATCAACGTTTAGTAAAATTTCACGTGATTGTCGGCTTTTGCAATTTTAATTTTGTTAGCCGTAAGTGATGATTAATCGATTTTGTTAACCGAAGTGATAATTAATTAAACTGATTTGTCATGAAAATTGCAGATAAAGGCTCTAACAATCTTTCTTAACACTTGGGAATAAAAAAATTAAAATAATAGAGTTCGACGTCTCAGATTTGAAAATTTTTTTTTTTTAAGTTTCCACGGATTTAAATTCTATCTAGACAAAAACTCATTGAAAATTCTAAAACTATTCCAAATCTTCAAACTCTGGAGGAGAGAAAATTTTAATTTTCGAAATATATGGAACAAAAGTGGAAAGTGAAAGACCATTGAGTGGTCTTTCATTTGTGCATGTCGTTAATAACAAATCGTGTTTCCCTTAATACACACAATGATTTTTCTGTCCTTTAGTGCACATATACAATCATTCTTGTCCAAATTAATTATTTTCATCACATTTACAAGTAAACAATTATTATAAAACAATTATTATAATTTTTACGTATACTTTAATATCTTTAGAAAGTATATTATCATTATTTAATCAGATGCTATTAATATTTGAAAGAAAAAAATGCGCAGGACACGAGTAACCTAATCGTGTGTACTAAGGATTAATTCAAAAGTACAAAAAAGAGATCTTAATCCATCTTCCTTTCTTAATCCTCTAGGAACAAGTGTTACAAATTTGCAATGTTCACTTTCAAATTAAATTCAGGACAAATTCAGAGTAAATTGAAGATCTGTGCAAATTATACTTAAGAACTGATATTGAAAATGTATGTAATATTGAATACTAAAATACAAATATTACTATCTACTTTTATTCGATAGAAACGCTATGCGTCGACTCTCTCTCTCTCTCTCTCTCTCTCTCTCTCTCTACATATATATGTATACACACACACACATTGTAAAAAATAAACAATTAATTTTAATTTAAAAACTTATAGTGGATTTTCTGAGTAATACGAAAATGTTAAAACACAAAAATGTCAATTTTAACATTTTTGCATGCTTAGAAAATTCACTACACATCTTTAAGTTAAAATTTTTATTTTTTTACAGTAAAGGCGTCACGAATTTCTGTTTCAAATTTTAGGAAGTTATATAATATATTAATTTTTACAAAAATATTGTATCTTACACATGACATGTGTAGCTCCTTTTCATCTTTATAGTACGGCAACATCACAATGTTATTTAACGTTAATGTAATTTAGTTAACGTTATATCTTCGGTAAAAATTTTGCAAGCAGTGGATCGATTCAGTAATATGTTCGAAAATAATTTTTTGAAAAATTTCGAAGTGTATGTTGTGCCAATTGTTGAACAAAGATTTTTCTAAAACAAGACAGAAAAGTTGTAGTGATATTGCAAATAAATTAATGAATTATGAATAACGAATGAATAGTGAATGCAATTTGTTAAAAATAAGTATTACAAAGATTCGTACACGCCAGTTCGTTCGTGATACAAAAAGAAAAAATTTTGAATAGTTTTTTCGTTATTTATTTACTTTGTTTGTATTTTTAGAGATACATACTGTAACAAAAAAAGCTTGCCTCTCAATACAATTAACTTGCAATCTGTAGATCCACGTTCAATCCCATCTAGACGATTTTTCGCGTTTAAGGAGCCGAAAATTACTTTATCTGGTGATTAAGATATCTTTGATCATCAGCTCCGTTCCGATCCGATGTTTGTCAACTGTAAGTCTTATATATCTACTGATATTATATTGAACATTAAGCTCTAACAATCTAATTTCGAAAAAATCTATTGTTATTGAATATATAATTACTGTAACAAAAAAAGAAACGATCGAAATAATCAACGCAATATTCGTTGAAATTGTTCTAGCAATTATTATTTATTAACCTTATTGTAACTCTTAACGCAGGTTTCGTTATCGTTATAATATCATTGCACAGCATTTTTATCATGATAAAAAAGCTGCGCAACGATGTTATAAAAACTTGAGTTAAGTGTTACAGATTAGCTCTGTTGATCTTTAAATAATGCAACAGAATTTCGATTATCCCCGCTTAAATAGATATATTGGTATATTAGTGTTTATATAGAGATTTCTCGTTTTTGAGGTTACTTTTTAATAAAATAAAATCCTGTCATCCATCAAATCCTACCAGCAGTATATAATTGATGTTTTTCACACGTATTTATTTCGAGTAATTCTTGAAATTTTGTAAAGTAATTTGCATCAAAATTGTAAGGGTTGTAGTTGTCTTATGAAACATCTATGACATGAATTACGCTAATCCTGATCAGAGGAGGGGAGTATCAGAAACAATCCAATTTTCTTTTAATCTATAGGGACGTATTTAAGTATATCTCAATCCAAAATGAAGAAGATAAAACAAATTTTTTTTAAATGGCGATTTTCGAAAATTTTGTAAAATTAAAATTTTGAATTTTCCATAAATTTTTTATTATTGACAATCTGCGAAAAAAATATTGCACATATCAGTTGAATTTTGGTTTGAGATATAACTACATTTCTATAAATAAAAAAAAATTGATTGTCTATACTTCAGATGACTAGGACCGGTGCAATTCATATCGCAGGCATTTTATAACATGGCATACAATGTGCAACTCTTATAATAGCTGTATGTCCGATATTTATTGTGTATGTACGTAAAATCTATAGTGCATGTAATATATGCTAGAAAATATCGAAACACAATCAATATTGACGCATATCACTTCAAAAAATTTGAAGAATTATTTGAAGTATAAATAAATACGTAAAAAATTCTCAATACTTTTTTTATTCTAATTCCTAAAAATCTCTCTCTCTCTCCTCCTCTCGATTAGAATATCTCTTAACTATTCATTTATCCAAAACGTATCATTTGCTAAAAAGAAACATTCTATATCCATTTATTATGCGCTGATCTACCTTGTGAATTTGATGATGTATGATGTATTAATACGACAAAGCGTTGACATGAGTATGCCAGGGAACTTTTTTTTTCGCAGCTGTTCGACATCAGATCTTGCCGCTAATTTCCTTTTTCCTTTTTCCAAAATAGTATTTTATGTATCTTCGTTTAGATACAAGAAGGAGATGTGACTAGCGATTTAAGAAAGGAAATGAAGGGCTATAACTTCAGGTAGGTTGATCCTTGTCGAACAACGTTAGCATCGGTGTTAATGAAATAAACGAACAAGTTGTCATTTAAAGAAAATGATATCTCGAATACACTTGCCGATGAATCGTGTCAACATCATTTGGACAAAATCACAATTAATACTTGTTCTCATATAATATTTAACATCTATCACTGTATTATCGCATATCACTGCGATCCTCACTGAGAGACTATTCTGCAGTTACTGACTGAGTTTATTCCTTCACGCCTAGAACTACACATTCCAAATCTATAATTTTCTTTTATTCCGCTGTCTTTCACTTTTTTCTACCTGATACCAGAAGACAGGTTTCTGTTTTCTTGAAAAGTGGGGCGTATAAATGGCTAGTTTTGTCTGGTTGGTTTCGGAACACAAATGGAAATATCATGATTTGAATCTGAACTACGAAAAGACTTATTAAATAACTTAACCAATTTTTTTGTTTTATAATCTTTACTTAAAACAAAGGTGAATAACATATGTATAAATAATTATTTTTGCAATAATTGTGAAATTCGTTAAGAAAAAACAAAATCACACTAATCGACATTGATCAATATGTTAATATCACGGTTTCAACATAATGATGAAAATACGACTGTTGACTCGATTAGCTTGATCATCTCTTTACATTACGTGAAACGCGGCGAAAAATTAATGTCTAGAGGTCTATTCTTTGCGATTAAACTAGCGTACACTTGTACCTAAAATGAAGTAGATGTAATTTGAAATTTAATGAAAGCAAGATAAAAAATGTTAGTGTATCTAATGAGCGACGAAGAGCAGATCTAACGTGCTGTGAAATCGACGGTCAGCGTCACGTGCTAAACCGGAAGTATCTGATGAAGTGGGGAGGAAGCGTGCCGAAAAGTCGGCTTTAGCCGCGTGAAACTTAACTCGACGCTAAACGCTTAAATAAACTTCGAGATGCGTTTTTATCCGGCAGGGAAAGGGAGACGCGACGGGGAAAGGAACCAGGAGGCAGACGCGCCACGTAGGTAGGTATGTTTACACGGGGGCATTATGGCGGATAATGTTTGTTATAGGCGTCTATGCCGCGCAGCCGCGAGAGGCGAGACTATCCGACGTTAAAAGGCCAGCTTGGCCGATCCGCTTACGGCGGATGAGGCTTAAATTGAGTGAGAGATAGTGAACTCCCTGTGCAACGAGTACGACGCGCGAATACCGCGCGTGCGGCTGCCGTCGCACATGTCGCTGCACATCGTCTGCTCGTTGGTAATCTAAGCGACAACCCCGCGATTATTCTTATATGGATACTCGCGCTTATGCTAACAACAAGTAAGAGAGCGTTCCGATGTATTGTATGGTAAGGTTTGGAGTCATACTCCTCGGAAAATTCTGCCGTAGATACGTGTCTCTCTGGTTGATAAGAGCGAAAATAACTTCACGCCCGTGCTTGCCTCAGCTGGATGCAGTTTACTTGATGCTTCAAACACTTTGAAACATTTGATTGACCAGAAGAATTTTACTAATTATTCAATCAAAGAAATATCGATCGTATTTAATATCTAAATTCGACAGCTATCATAACCGCTTGATTCCTGGTTGGGCATAATTCAATTTTAAATATATGATATTTACTGAAACACAAGAGTAGTTTTACAAATCTATTTTATATATCGATTGCTTCAAAGTATTTGTAGCATCAAGTGGACCGTAGCTTCAATCTTCTATGAGTTGTAGATTAGGTTAATGCTGCTGTTTCGATTTATCGTATAACGCAATTTTAATAGAATATTAATTTATTTAATATTAGTAAAATTCAAGTCAGCATGGGATTG